GGATTTCAACAGAATTTTGAGCAGTGGAATGCTCTAGAATGGTCGTATTAGTTAGCTTGTTGGCTTTGGCTCTGATGGAATTTGCTACATAATATGAGCCCTGGATTACTGGCTTCTGGGTTAACTGGGCATGTTGAGAGAAGTAGACAAGCAATTCATTTCTTTGTGTCTTATTCACTTCTCATATTTCTAAGTCTGGTTTCAAAGCAAAAATGTTTTATGGAAATTGGGTTTTGTTTTGTTTTGTTTTGGTTCCAACCTGTGGTCTAGTGACAACTATGGATGCAGGTGTAAACGAGAGAAAAAAGTTGTCAAATCTTTCAAGATGTTAGCATTCTCACCTGAAATCTTGTGAGATTTTGGCATTCTTGTCCAAAATCTCAGAAATATTTGAGATAGGAACACCAACAATTTATAAAATTTAGTGACTTTTCAGACATTAAAATTACACATTAAATGTATTTATTTTTGAGAATCTATATGGTTGATAAGAGTCAACAATGATTTGATGGCATGTAATCCATCAATCAATCATTCGCCATCTGGAGGTTGCACATGCTATTATGTCCAGTGGCATTATCATGCTGTGTCACTGATCCCTGGCTTATGTGATAGTCCTTAAAAACATTTTTTTAAAATTTATCTATATATCAAATTTGTCATTGCCCATCTTGTTGAAAGCAACTTTGGGTGGTTTACAGAAGAGATAAAATTGATTAAAATACAATATAAAAACAATCTTAATAATAAATAAGTTCCAAGAATGTTGGAGAATTGGGAAATAACTCAGGGAGCGTCATCCGGGTACTAACCATCCCCAGGGACAATTAGAGCTCTTATCGCCCCATTTGATATAATACAATGATCCATATAAAGGATAAGGTTTGGAATTGCTGTTCCAGGGTGGGGTCATATAAAACAGGTAATCTATAATACTCTTTCTGGATTTCTATTTTAAAAAGGCAGCTAAGAGGGTAGTTGCACTTATTTTAAGGTACTACAGATTTATTGTAAGCTTGTCAAAGGAATATCTGATGAAATAGCTCCAACAAGCCTGAAGTCTTCCGTTTCCTGTTTGAACACTGCCCATAAGAGATAATTTCTAAAATCCAGAATGTACTCCTTATGAATTAGATTTAGGATAAAGGCATTGTGAAAGAAAGGGGAGAGAGAGAGAGAGATGAATGCAAATAATTTCTAACTTGTCTTACAAGGAACCCCAATTCATTCTTCTGTTAGAACAGCAGGATCTGGCACCTGCCAGGTCATAGCACCAGTTTATAGAGCTGGAAAGAGAATTGCCAACACCTTCCATACTCCTCCCATTCTGACCATTTTCTTGTAACTGTTTTTATTTTTCTGCCTCCCTCAGTTTCTTTTTCCTCAGTCCCTTGTTTTTCTTTTTCCTTGCCTTTCTTCCCCTTTATCTTCTTGTGGACTTCTTTGCTCCCTTTGATTATTTCCGTAGTCCTTAAATAAATTAGAATTAAGACTGCCTGGGAAGTTATCTGGAGCAACAGGATGAGAGGTGTTATGTATCTCTTGGGCACCATATTGTGCCATGAGTTTTCATAAGTTCTTGTGTATTGGGTGCAACCAACAATAGTTTATGATAGACTTTATCAGCCTGGTTCTCCTCACATCTATTCTCACCCACAGCCAATGGGTATACAGTGAGTAAAGATGGGGTGTGTAGTTCAACCCACCTGGAGGGTTATGGCCACCTAGCTTATGATAATACTTGGCCCAAGAAACTGGTTTGACTAAGGACACACTGAAGGTGTTTCATTTGACAATAATAGTGCAGCCTGCATTTTGTTCTGCAGGACTCTAGTATAATATCGTTTCAAGGGGTTATAGTCTTTGAAAAATTCCTTTAATCATCTCCAGGATCATCACTATTACTTTAGCTCAACCTTGTCTGCATTCACAAGTGACATCTCCTTTAAAGTTCCCCCATCTCCTTTCCATTAGTATGATCGATGACATCCCTCTTCCTGATGTGCCGAGTCCTGAATTTAGATAACAAGATTCTAATAAAGTTTGACTGAACAGCAGTAATACGCTTCTGCTTCAAAGAACTGGTTTATAGAGGGTGTCACCTTCCAGTACCTCCATCTCCCAGTGCTGCTATTGCAAATCTATTTTCCTTCACCTTAGGTGATCCCTGTAGGATGCTAATATTCATAGTTGGATAATTATTAGATACTTCATAAAATGTACATGTTATGCATCATGATATACATACACTGCCAAAAATTCTATATTTTTCTTTTTTTTTAAGAAATCCCAAATTGTAATCACTGGCAATGCTCATAGCTGAATAAATCGTATGTGGTTAAAAAACCATACTTCTAATTTCTGGTCCAGCTTTGCAGTAATTAAGTAGACAGTTGTTTTTATATATATAAAAAGATTTCAGTCTTTTTCTATGTTTCCTTCCTTGAAGTAATACTATAATACCCCTGAAATCAATTGTGGTAGAAATACTCTTATTAGTAGGTTATAATATATTTAGTCAGGTTATAAGTATAGATATATCTCTGGAATACCATAGAGTTCATTTATAGCATATGCCAACGCACGCAACATTAAAAAGTATTCCAAAGACTACTAGCACCCAAAACACATATATTACATATATTTATTCAGTACCATCAAATATGATGAGGCCACCAGTAGGGAAGTTTTTAAGAGGAAGCTAGATACATTTATGGAGGATAAGTCTATCAGTGCTACTAGTATTGATACGTAGGTACTAATTTCAGAATTCAAGGCAGTATATCTAAACACTGGTTTAGATACCAGAAACAGCAAAGTAGAAGAGGGTGATTGCCATCATGTTCTGTTTCTGAACTTGCTAGATACATCTGGTCAGCCACAGTGTACTGGACCAGTGATCCTTTGGCCTTCCCTAGCAAGAGTCTGCTTAAGTTTCAAATTCCATTTAATTCTATAGAACTTGTTTCTGGGTGAACCTGCATAACTTCAGTTTGTAATGCAGGTCTCAATATATGTACTGAAAATAAATCACACTGAAATTTATGTATGGGATCAGAATTAACTTTGGGATTTTCTTTTCACTGATATATTATTTAAATAGAGTGGTGGTGAATACACATTGGAGGCAGATATTTTATATTCTTTCATACATGCAGTTGGTTATGATTGCTTTCTCCATTTATTCTCAGGTTCATATGCTCTTGAGCCCTCCATGTAGAAAATCCCCCTTGAAAACAAACTAGCTTGTTACAGCCAGATTGTCAGGAATAACTTTCTGATGATGATTGTCAGATCAATAAACTATTACTGTGTTTGTGCATATATAGGGAACATCTAGTTGTTCGAGAGGGGTAGACATTTTTCTCTATACAGAACTACATCCACGTAGAAGTTCTTCATGGGGAATATGTGATGGGCTGAACTGAACTTCTGTTAATATAGTAACAACAGTTATTGTTCCATGGCTACTTAGGAAAAAACAAGCCTTCATTAAACACAGTTTCTTTCTTTGATAGAGAAATCCTCTGCTAATATGCAGGGCTGATTTCTGGTGTACAATTTGAAACTATTTTCATTTGTTTTATAGATGTCTCACGTCATATCCAGCCAGATCATACTAAAGTGACTTGATCTGTATTTTGCTGACATGAATGTTCATTCAGAAGGCATATTTCTTCTTGTTTTTCTAACTTGATGAAACTTTGCCTTCAGGGTGCTGAATGTTTTTAAGAAAGAGAAAACAAGATGCCAGAGTTGGTTGCCTGTTTATGATTTGAAGTGCCATGAGAGAGAACGTGGTGTCTCAGTGTTGAGTGGAAAGACACACTGCGCATTCTGTAGCACTTAATTTATTGTTTTCGCACATTTTCCACTCTTGCTACTAAAAACAATTTTCAGGTTTTGAACTATATAAAAATTAAACTGGATTTGCTTTCAAAGAATATCAGTCTCAAAATTTTGAAGTAAATTAATCCTATTTAGCAATTTGTTTCTGGGCAAAATTCCAAGTATTTTTAATAATCTTTAAAGCTGTAAAGGCTTAGTATACCTTAAGGACTGCATTCTTCTATTCCAGCCTATGCCTTCTCTCTGAGATCTGTGTTAAACTGTACCAAAGACAACTAATCATTTTAACAACACCTAAATTTTGAAACTCCCTGCCTCAGGAAGCCAGGTTGGCACCCAATATAATTGTCTTTTATCTACTGTATCAATCTGCTTTTTCTACATAGAATTCTTTTTTGTATTTTCTTTTTTTTGGTTTCACTTTTAATGGTGCTAATTACAATATGATTTTAAATACAGTTAGTTGCTCTGAGTAGTGGATGTGGACTAGAAGAATAGTGTATGAATTTTTGAAGGAAGGAAGATTTGAAATGCTTGTTCTGTGAAATTTTAAGGAGTGATACAGTTCAAAAACAAGAGACATTCTATTTACTAGCAAGACACTCAGTGAATGGAGCAATGTTTAGAATCTGTAGCTTGTTTTTCACATTCTCCATTCATAAATGTGTAAGGACAGAGTGGTCAGATTACATAGACACACATATACCTGATCCCTCACAATCCTAACATTTGGCATCGACAATGACATTAATCGTCAATGAACGGATGCAGGTAGAAGAACAGAATGTGCTGCTTCAGACAACACATAGTTAACAGATGAGGTTGGCTGCCACTGAGATGGTCTTTGACTTAAATGGTTGCAAAGAAGGGCTAGGTCTTTCAAAGGGTTTTGCCTTTGACTATTCCATGCTCAGTTATATGTTAAAATAACTGGGCAGCAGGTTGCCTGAAATGTGACTTTTCATTTTGGCTGTTATGGAAGAAAAAATCCTTGAGTATAAAAATGTTCCAAAAGACAGGAAGGTGCTGTATGTTGTGATGAAATGGAACGGGAATCAACTTTTACAAGTAAGGGCACTTACAGATTCTACTTTTTCAGCTGGGATCTGTTGTCCTGCTGAAACATGACATTCTCTGTGTATTTCTCTTAGGCGGCAAACTGCAGAAGAACGGGAAGCAGAGCGGCAGCAAGCCAATCGCATCCTCATGCAGCTCCAGCAAGAGGCCTTCCAGAAAACCATCAATCAGCCCATCCAAGCAGACCCAATCTGTGTTCACAATTCCTCCCTCTTTGCCCTCCAGAACCTCCAGCCATGGTCAGATGACTCTTCCAAGATCACCAGCGTTACTTCTGTGGCCTCTTCCTGTGAGTGAAATCTTACCTTTGCCTATGCATGGACTCTTGTATTACAAGGTGGCTGGCCTTATTCAGCACCATCAGTAGAAGACACAGGTTGCCTGTGAATGAGCCAGTGGCAGCAACCAGACAATGTCCCCTTGCAAGCCAATGCTCTCAGAGGCCATATGGTGCTGGTCTAGTGGAGCATTCTAATAAAAGGCAACACTTTCACTCTTTCTTCTTCTTCTTCTTCATCATCATCATCATCTTCTTCTTTAAAAGGGTGATGTTGGAACATCCTAAAACTCTTCCAGAGAGAAAACAACCCAAGGTTCTTCCTTTCAGCCATTTCCAAGAAAAACCTTTTGTATCATTTTATCTGCTGACAACACAGTTGTTCTCCCATGTAAGTATTTCAGACTGAT